TCAGATCTTTTTATTAGCTAAATTAAGCGCAAATGTCAATTTTAAACAACCTCATATGGAAGTCTTCCATCTTCTGCACAACGTATAAAATGCTTATAGCAAATGAAAATGAATTTGCGATGGAAAATGGTTAAAGCAATTGATGTGGCAATATGTGGAAAGAAGCGATGCTGTTGCATGGGATATTCAATGACTGATCGTTCTTCTACAACATAAGAAATATATCCCCGAGAAATATCAGATAACGGTTATGGGCACTGTAATACTAAATGATCATGAAGGATGGTGTGTGAAACATGAAATGCCCATTTGCGTAGGCATTCAAACAATGCAATTCAAAGAATTCCGCAAATGGAATAAAGCATTTGAAGGAATGTGTTATCGATTAACTTCCACGATTTGATGAGGGAAATGTATATTGAAATGAGTGAGAATGAATAGATTGTGTGTAGAAGGACGGAAATGATATGATTTGTTGTTGCAGGAATATTTAACTGATATCGAAGCTTTTTTTTCAATTTCAACTTTTTTTTCGTTTCCTCGAATTTTTAAAATATGAGGAAAGCTATTCTTCAGTGACTGTAACCTGCATGATTAGCACTACGGAATTGCTGCCTAACAGCTGAATAACGTGTCGCTATGATGGCAGCAAGTTGAACTGCCACTGCACCTTTGCCAACGATAGCTGCGCGCCCAATAGATAAAATAGCCAAATTTGCTAATTGCTGCTCTTTCGTATCCTGAAACAAAAAAGTAGAGAGAGAGAAAAGATGAGAGAGAAGTTCCTGATGAATTCATGATGAATAGTTTGATATGAAATCATAAGCTCTTATTTACCTTAAGAATGGACTGATAAGTTCCATCCGGATGAACGGTTGCTATTCGGTTCAATAATGCATCTAAATGAAAACGGTGCTTGGTAAACTTGATCCATCCATTATCGACACCATTCCAGATACCTGTCTTCTCTCCCATATCACCGATTGTTATACCTTCCAAAGGTGTCATCGTTTTGAAATGACGGATTTGTATGCAAAATGCATGCAATCCATGGCATACATGATTGATATAAAGTTGAGCAAAAATAATTGCATGGGTTGCATTTATAGCTGTGAAAAAAATAACTGTGATGAATGTATTGTTTTCAAAAATTAAAAATTGGAAAAAAGTCAAAAAAAGTGAAAATGAATATTAAAATGAAATTTTTATTAAGAGAGATTAGCGGATAAGAAATAAGTTGCAATGTTGAAATATTGTTGGCCTAAAATGCTGATATAACTATGAGTGATGATATATCGATTGATGGAAATATTCTATCCATGATATATCGATTGATGGAAATATTCTATCCATTATTCAATCCCTTCTGATATCGGTAAAAAATGAATGAAAGAAGATGAATAAAATTAAAAGATAGAATAGAGACGAACCCAAGTTGCCGGCCCAACATTTGATTGCTTCATTATCCGGCGTGTGCATCAAGAATTGACCCTCGTCGTAATGACATTCAGTGCGGACCGAATTCGCATCTGACCCATGCGACAGTTCCGTCAAACAAAAGCAGCCGACAATCTTCAATAATTTTATCAGCTAATCATCTTTCTAAGTTTATTTCGAGATCAATTTGAAGTCGAAATGATCAATGGTGCAAACAGGATCGGAAGTCCTTCTACCCCTTGCAATGAATTTATAAAGAGCAATGCATTAGGACGAATTTTAACAAACTTTTTAAATGAAAGATCAATGATTGGATGATATAAAGACCTCATTGTTCCTGCATTTCTCGAGTATTTGATGGTGCCGATTTGTTCCCATTGATAATATTGTAACATAGAAGATGGCACTGATATAGAATTTTGCTGCTAAACTTTGGTCATAACTTTCTAAGATTTCCGCGAAATCCACAAATCTTTCAGGATTTGTTTTAAGCTATAATATAACTTTATATTGTGATTGGAGAAGATGAGAAATTGAAAGCAGAATATTTTTTGAAAATGATAGGTCCACCACTAAGGATATGTGTTACAGCACGACAAAATCATATCAAAAATGAGAAGAGACTGATCATAGACCCCATCGAACGTGATGAAATTGTATTCCAGAAATTGTTTCCATCGTCGATCGCATATTTGGCGGCTTTCATCCATCGTCAATGTTCGCCAATCGCGAACAAAAACATTACTAGCACGGAGTTTTTCAAAGACCTCATTCTAAATTATGAAGAAAAATATTTGCAAATATAAATTTTAAAATTTGGCATTAATTCAGAGTAGACATTAAAGTTGTAAAGAAATGTCAATCTGAATTTGCTACAGTTGATAACTTTAATTAAACACCGTACATTTTGCATTGCGAATTTTCATCTGGTGAAAGATATTTATTTAATTGAATACGTAAAAGTTAGATAATAAAGGTTGCTTTGATAAAACGATTTTTTCCAGCTCCAGATGAAATCAGCTCCCTCCCTAACACCCAGTTGAATAAGATTGAAGTAGTTTAAAATCATTTTTTCCCTCAGAAAATTCCCTATTATTTACCTTAAACTTAATACTCTCCGAACCGTATAGCCATTCCTGCAGATCATGCCAACAGAATCCTGCCATTCGTCGATATTCCAATAATTTATCATTTATTTCAAGAGTAGAGTCTAACTGATATGGTGTCATAAAAATCATAACGTGTTTGGGGAATCCCCACAGATGAATTTCCTGAAAATTTAATCAGAGTCAACTGTTCGCCCGTATCACTAGTCCTACTTCTTTTGTTATATCTAATAATTACGGTTAGTCCTGGAAAACAAAACAAAAATAATGCGCAGCCAAAAGTTAGAATCATAAGACATTAAAAGATCCGGCTACGGCTCAACAAATCACCAAATGTTGTGACTGAGAGATAATTATTCCTTCCAGCCTAAATTAGGCTCATTTCGTGGCACATTTGAAATGATAAAGTCAATTCAGATAAATGAAATGCCACCCACTAAAAATTCCATTACCACAATCATTCCTACAACATTTCTTCAATTCAAAGTTTTTTGCACGAAACATATTTCTATCATTTTGAATAGCATTATCAGATTTTTATATTTCAGTTATCAACTATGTACAGGAGATATGATTAAGTAATGCAAATAACAGAATACAACAACAATCGAGACAAAAGCATAGGCAAATATGATATGGAATACAACAATAATAAATTTTACTTCCGACTTTTCAATACACGAACTTGCATTTAAAAAAGCAGAAGTAAAGCTGTAAAAATTAAGTATTTAAATTTTGTTATCTCCTGACACCATAAAATTCAAATCCACACAACCTAATGAAAGCACATCAATTTTAAAACACCATAAATCATTCAAACAATTCCAATTCTTCACTGATCCAGAATGTGTTATCATTCAATCTCAATTGAAAGTAATAGAAGAAAAAATATGAGACAAGAAAGCAATACGCTGTAATGCTAATAAATGCATCTAAGCGAGAATTATGAAAACATGCAAAAAAACTGGTAAAACATTCCACCTCTATCCTTCCACTGTGAAATGGACCAAGTTAAAGCCTTTTAGGACCTAATCATTCATTCGCTTATCAATGAAATTATCATCCATGCACCGGGGAGAAAATGATCTGTAGATCACTTATAAATGTTTTAAACAGAGATCACCAAAATTCATGGCTGACTTCATGGTCTGAATTCCATATTCGAATTTAAAAATCCTATTTTCAGTTAAATATTTTAAACTGGGAAACTAATGACAAGCCTAATTTATTCAGAATACCAT